TCATATTACCTATTCAAAAATTCTAAGTACATCACAACTGTGACATTCAGATCTTATGATCTGGCCCAAAAATTACTTTGCTCTGACCATAGTCGAGAAGTACAAGTAGCCGCTCTACACATAATCAAAGCAGCAGATCCAGCCCTTTACGACGTGAAGGTAAGCGATTTAAAGACTTTATCATCGAAAAGCAATAATTTTGTAAATTCAGCTCATAAATACACTAATAAGACTCTTCCGGAACACTTGCCCTCAACCAACGAGCACTGGTGAATCACAGCTGGCCGTGGATATCTTATTGAAGTGAGTGAATGTTTCAGTATTTCAAAAAAATTAACTTGCTTAAATATTTCAGCTGTGTGCCAGAGCATCAACATGTTGCCACACTATTATTACGCACAGAAACTACGCATCCAGAGGACCATGAAAAATGGAAATATTTCTACAAAGCAGTGGAAAGCAGTTCGCTGCAGGATGAGTTGGTTAGTGAATGATAGCCATAGAGGGCTGAGGAGAAATTTTTTAAATTTTTTCCGGTAATGCTTTATAACTTCCCAAGTCATGGATCAGGTAAAATTTGGGGAGATAAAATTGAATTTTTGCAAAAAAAACATTTTCGAAGCTGATTTTTGAAGTGTTTTTGACAGTGTTTGAGGATTGATTTTTTTTGCAAATAATTACAGTTAAAGTAAATTTTCTTCTAATGATTTTTTTTTGCAAAATGGTGACAGTTGAATCGAATATTTTTTTGATAGTGAGGTTGTTTTTTCGATTCGCTAGTTTTTGATAGAGAGCTTTTTTCATGAGCTGTGATGTGCCGAAGCTATAGATAAATACCTATTTTAGATTTACGAGAAAGTTTAAGAAGTTTTATCAAAATTTTGTCGAATGTTGCTGTTGCTCCATCTTTTCTCAAAATTTGGGATGGAAATCGCTAAAAAATTTGGTTGATACCCTTGGACCGTCACTGCATACAAACCATAGTAAATAGTGTATTGAGCATCTGTCTTATTTTTGGTACTTCCAGAAAGAAGAATTCTGGCATCGCATGCGAAAATTCAAGGTTTTCCGACCTAACTATGCCCAACGAGCCCTTACCGCTAACTCATTCAGGGACTGGCGGGAAATCACAGGTATTCTGAAATACCCTTCCCTTTCCCTTTTTCTTTCCGGAAACTTTGACCTTTAATCCTCACAGAACTCGGAGGTTTTACGCTCTACACCACTTCTGCCTCTGAGTCAAGATCTGGAGCCTTTGCACGGTCAGATGTTGACCTTCGTCTGAAACATCGCAAAGAGGACCATAGCCTCTTTGGTGTTAGTTTTGACTCACAGGCATTGGAATCTATGCTTGGAGAGCAGAAGCAGCAGAGTACCCCAGCTGAACCGGAAGCAAATGTGCGAATATCCGTGTTTGACCATGCATTGCCGGTGAATACAATATTCAAGGTAAAAAAACTTTTGGGAAGACTTCAGCTCTAAAAAACGATTGGTTTCAGGGCTCTACTGAAATGTTGGGAGCTGCATGGAATGCCGATGGTCAAACAATCAAAATTCTAGAGGTGAAAACCTAATCTCCTCAAATATAATACACAG